ATTTTAAATCTGAAGATCAGTCGGATGGCAACTAAGGGAAAATACGTGCAAAAGCTTGTTGGCAATTGAAAGTACAGGTGTGGCTGCATTGTAAAATGGAGCTGGAAGCTGATAATGAAGAGCTAGACCCAGATACTCTAGTTTGTAACCTTACTTGGGAACAACTCCGAAATTTCTTGCAGAAGAAAATTATGCAAGCGGTAAAAAATGCATGTAATAATCTGGTTGAAAATTACAGAAATACAAGTCCAAACATGAGGAAAAGAGGAGACTGTGTTCAAGGTTCTCAGAACTTTGTTGAGGACTCCGAGTATTCTCAGGAGGAGGAGAGAGAGCCGCTGGCTAATCAGTTGGTATATACGGAAAGAGAAACCTTGGAGATTAACGCAACTCCAAGATATGGCTTAAAAGAAACAAAAAACTCTATTTCTGGAAAAAAGATAATGAAACGGCATCCATCAAAAGTACAAGGGAGAAAAAAGAATGAGAATGAAAAGCGGAAAAGAGGAGAAAAGGATGGTGTAAAGAATTCCAACGTGAATAAAAGACTGAGAACTGGCTATATGAAACATGGAAAAAAAGATTTGGATCGTAAAAGTTATGAGTACAAAAATGCAAGGCATCTTAAGGAGGTTGAAAAGAAAAAGGAGTTTACTGAAAGATGGAGAAGAAGGAAGAGGCAAAAGCTATGTTCGGTTTTGGTAGAACTTTTGTTTTCTTATTGGGTATAAATGGTCTTTGAAAATAAAAGGAAAGATATCTATTACTATTGTGGAGGGGGGGGAAAGATAGATAATTTGTAAGTTAGTAAATGGTGGGAAATTATGCTTATTTGGGTGGATCACTTTGCTCATGTTACTGAGAACACAGCTGGGGGAACCAGCATAGGACAAGAAGGAAGAAGAAGAAAGCAAATCGGATGGCGAGTTAGGCTCAGTGTCTTCTGACGAGGACTCTCTCTCTGAAAAGGGGGAGGCGGCCCCCAAAAGTCCATATAAATTGAGGATAAGAAAATATAAGAGAAAATAAAGGCTGAAGGACTCTGAATGTGCCTGAAAATCTAGAAGTAACTTTGGGATGCTCTGATGGTTTCATTTAACAGATAAATGGATGGTTAAAAGATAAATAACTTAGCATAACCGACTAGGTTCAATGTATTATTAGCATGTATTATTGAAATAAGCTGATGTATTGATTTCCTACTCTTGGGGATTAACTGGTCTTTTGAGAAGAGCAAACATGATATAAGATTATTCAACTAAATAAGATAGTTTCATGGGTATATTGTTAGTCTGAGAAAGGTTTAGGAGTAAGAGTGTTTTTGTAGTGTATAAACCTTGCTATTGGAGCAATTTAGATAAACTTGATTCACGTGGTGGCAAGGATGTTATAACAAATGTGATTTGGATAATAATGTATAATTAATTTAGTTAATTAGGTTCTAATATTGTGGTATGTATATCTATTTTTCTTTTCTTATATGTGAAAATCCAATAAAGAGATTTTAAAAAAGAGAGTAGTATAGTAGCAAACTTTTGTTACTATAATCCAATAAAGAGATTAAAAAAAAAAAAGGACACCAGGTGAGTTTCGTGACAGAGTGGGGACTTAAACCCAGGTCTTCCCAGTCTTACAACACTATACCACACTACCTCTTCAATGTAGGGCTGCCAAGCCATGGCGGGGGATCCGTGCGTCTTCACAGGATTCCTGCCGTGGGGGACAGCGATACGCGTTGCACCGCCGTCACCAGGATGTGACACTACGCGTCGCTCTGGCAACAGGGCTGTTTGGAGTCCTGTTGCCAGAGCGACGCGTAGCATCACATCCTGGCGACGGCGGTGCAACACGTATCACTGTCCCCCGCGGCAGGGATCCTGTGAAGACGCACAGATCCCCCGCCGCAGCTTGGCAGCCCTACTTCAATGTCTGACAAAAGAACACTTCTCTTTTTCTGGGGACTGCATCACTGGATCAAAGCCAGTGATCATTGTGGGTGATCATCAGACTAATGCAGGGATTACATTTTATGCTGGGAGGACTTGACAAGCATTAGTGCACTGCTTTCTAACTTTACACTGCATCTTTAAAACACAGAAGGGACCCAACATGTCATTCCCATATCTCAAAGCTCCTTGGGTGATGGGTATGGAAGTAATAATTTTTTTAAAAGACTGAGCAATATTAGTAATACAGAAAATCTAACAGGCCTGCAGAACCTGTGCCTTTTATAGAGAAAAGGATAATATTTTAACAAGGGTTTGACATGTGGTTTCATTCCTGTGTAGCAAAAACAGTATGCTGGAAACAGCCTTGAAGAGTTAAGCCTTTTCATGTTGATGAGCAGTGAAGGAGACTGAAAGCAGTTCAGAGAATAGAGAAAAGAGGAGTCGAAGATGGCAGCACAGCAGTAGGGGACGGGACTATTAGCAAGACAACTTCTCATCTTGGAGAAAACTCTGTTTAGGCCGAGACAGATCTTTGGCCTCAGAATCTCAAGCAATGCTCGATCTCTGCTAGTGGGAAATTCTGCAAATGCACGCTGCCTCATTAGGATGCAGACTGAGTGTGTTATGAAAAACTTAACAGTTTCTTCTGAGGTGCAGAATTTAATCCTGTTGTCCACCAGTCTCACTAATCTGGTGCCACTCAGAAATAATGCTTTGTCAGTTTCTGGCATGCAAAGTCCTTTACAGTAATTACCTCATTAGCTAAACTTCCATGGCATCCCTACAAGACAGCCAGGCACATGATATTAGCTTTTATTTCTCTTACTACTGACATACAGCAACTGCACCCAAAGGAATCCACTAAGTCCATGGCTCAGTACTAACGAGGTTTTCAAAAGCTAACACACCATCTGTTAGATCGTGTTAACATAGTCCAGTTAGATCTGTTAGATCCACTGCAGTATGCGATATCTTCTTCCAAGAGCTCTCTGTTCTACTTTCTTCCATAAACAGAGGTGGCTAGGTCATTGGTGGGGACTGCCCCAACCAGGAACTTAAGTCTTTGCGCAGATGACCCTGAAGAACTGCTTGGCAAGCTCTTGTGAAAAAGCTTTCACTAACTTATATCCTCCAGCTCTCATTGCATTTCAGCAGGTCAATAAAATACATGTGATCCAGTTACATATCTTTTTATTAGAGTTATATACTTTATGGCTTTAATAAAAGGTTGCAGAGAATGTTTTCGAATCATACTTTACAAAGTTTGTACCAATTACAGCAGATGGGTTTTACAGCACTGCTGGACCTCCTGATGGCACCTGTTATTTTTGGCCACTGCGTGACAGAGTGTTGGACTGGATGGGCCATTGGCCTGATCCAACATTGGCTTCTCTTATGTTCTTATGTTCTTAATCACTCTTAAAATCCAAGTGGCCCCTTGAAGTGCCTCTCACATGACAGCAAATGCCTCCTGGGACTGCAAAGAAGGTCACTGGAGCCTAGCCCTACTGAAATTGCCCTGCAGCCTTCCTGTGGGGGATGACACATGGAGGTAAGAGCTACTCCGACTTCCTTTAGCATGGTTCTCTAGTTCAAGAGCAGCCTCTGTTTATGGCTGGATACCAAGAAGGGTAGGGGAGGCCATCAGAGGATTTAAGTGTTTTCTCTACTTTGGTTCTTTTATTGTATTTCTTTATATAAGGATACATTTCCTCCTTTGTAATTTAGTCTCCACATTATTTACCTGTTAAGTCTGGCAAATAGTGATGTCAACAGCAGCCAGTGAGCCAAAGCGGCTATAGGTGGCTATGCAATCCAATGCAGAATTACTCCAGGCTAAGCCCATTGATTTTAATGAAATTAGACTAGAGTAACACTGCATAAGGTTGCAGTGCAGGTGACTTGGATCAGTCACTTTTCATTAGATTAACCTACCTCACAGAACAAAGTTTGAGTCCAATGGCACCTTTAAGACCAACGAAGTTTAATTCTAAGTATCTGATGGAGTATGCATGCACACATCAGCTTATACCCAGAATTAAACTTTTGTTGGTTGTAAAGGTGCTACTGGACTCAAACTTTACTCTGTTGCTTCAGCCCAACACGGCTACCCACCTGAATCTCTGACAGAGCTGTTGTAAGGATGAGTGGGGGGAAACCAGGTACACAGCTATGATACTCCTTGGAGGCAGGAAAAAAGTAGTGTTGTGGTCAGAACACTGAACTGTAACTGTGGAGACCTGAGTTCAAATTCCCTAATCAGTACAGTAATACACAAAAAGCCACACCTGATAGTTGACAAGCATTCTATGAGAACCTTCTGCTATAAAACAGCACAATTTTTTTTTTAAAAAAAATAAATCAAATTAAGTTCCAATTTTTCAACAATAAACTCAACCACCACTCAACATGTACTCATGAGTCTACTGCTTTTACATACCATAAAATCAGCCACAGGAGCCTCCATATTAGACTGCTTTTGTCCCATGGGGGAAAAAAATAACAGTAGCTTCTCTCCATGCATAAAAGGTGTTGCCAGGCCATACCTGAGCAGATCTTTGGAGACGCAGCATACAAATAATCAGGATGCTCTTTATCTGACAATCCAGGCTAAGGAATGAGACTGTGGCATGGAAGGGGAATGACAGACTTTGACTCTAGCTTGCCACTTCTGTATCAGAGTCAGAGCACTCTCCCCTCGTGTTTCTTTCATCCACTTCATAAAGATCAGTTTGAGCATCAGTTCTAAAACCACGTAGGATGGCAGTGGTGAATGCCAAAACCATTAGTGTACCGAAAATGAGGCATGTTACAAAATGTAATGTTATCTATGAATCTATTCTCAAACTATATGAAGCAAAAGATAATGTATTCCTAGGTATGTTGGAGTGATCATTCATAATTCAGTAAAGGACTTGGAAAAAACATTGGTAGGCTTTATTGTACTTGCGGGTAATGTCTAGGTATAATACCTGCTGAAAAGCCATATGTTAGGCAATTTGGAATAAATACTTACAGGAAAGCTGTATCTAAAAGTGCCCTGACCCTTACCTCGTCCTTGTACTTGGTGATGTAAGAGTAGATCTCATGCAGTGCACTCATGCTGTTGAACTGGCTCAAGTGTAACCGTGACTGTTCCGCTAGGTAGGCGCTCATGTCTTGATCGCTGATTGCTGGCATTTTAGCAATATCTGCATAATATCTACAGCAGGGAGCAGGAGAGACATATCATGTTGTTGAAAATAAAGAAAATATGTGACAGACGCGGGGCATGTCTTCTTCTGAAGACAGTCTTCAAGAACTATGGAATTATTTGGTGACACTGAAGCTACTGGCTACCATTTGAAGGTCAGATCAAACTCCTCTCCCCAAATGATCCTCCCTTTGGATTTAATGTCTAACAACTGCAGCCAGAATGTTCTGTTTCCCCATCAGAGAAATCTTAGCATTATTTCATCCATGAGAACTGAATACAGTGGATTAATTGAGAAATCTGTGGTGGTCAGCTGAGCTAGTAGTGGGTACAAGGCAGGGTTAGGCCCATGTTGTCAGGGTTAGGCCCATGTACTAGACTGCATAAGCACCAGAGAAAGAAGCATTTAATCAACAGCAGACCAGGGATGCAAGTGGTTTTGGTTCTAGAAGAGTTGATGCCTATGGGGACTGATATAGATCAGTTCATAGGCTGGAAGAAAGACAGGCCTAGAAATATTTTAATAAGTAAGTATAGCTACACAAAGTCTTGATGGGACCTAATTTTCTCTCCATTCATCTACATGATGCATGTTGTGGCAAAATTATTGATGCATGTTGTGGCAAAATGTATACGGACCATGCCGAAAATTATTACTTGCAGTGCAGTTGGAATCGAAGTGGGTACTTGCTGCAGAAGGTTCTACTGTGCTGTTTTGAGTCTCTGCTGGAATTGAGCAGAACAGCACACTTGCACAGTATGCATCATAGGCCCAAACTGCATGTTACATTTTACACGTGGTTGCAATGGGGACCTGCCGCCATACAGCAGCTGTGAGGCGAGCTGTGGCAACTCAACTTAGAAGTGCCACAGGGCCTGATTGAAATCAGGACTGTGGTATGGGGGCAGAGAGGCTCCTGTCTCCCCCCACTCCATTATTTTGACCAGAAAACCACCCTGGGGGGCATTTGTTTTTGTACTTTTTATATGGGCATTCTTAGAGTTTCACAAGACAAAGAGTTCTATCCGATTCAATTAGGGTGGTATGTGAAAAACATTGGAAACCAACAGTAGTACAATAACCTAGCACAATACCAACCAAATTATGACAAAATAGTGAAAGCAAGTTTCAAATTCCCCAGAACTTCATCAGCTTGGATGTCAGGTACCAAAAACAAACATGATATAGTAGGGGAAACGATATTTTCAATACTCATGTGCAGTATCTATGGCATCAACTCCAAAAAAATTAGTATTTCAGAACTTCATATGTTTTAAGACTTATCTTTGGGAAGCCCTGATGGCACCATTCATGCAGGAGAGGCCTTAACAGGAACACTAGCTATGAATGCCATCATAAATGCAACAGCAGAAAAATCACTGCCTAACAGTATAGCATTAGACATTATAATCATAGGCATCATCTACAGGTTGCAATATATAAACACAGCATGGCAAAGGGGATCCTGCAGTAAAGTAGATGCTTTTTATGTTAACAGTCCCAGGTTCAGTCTTCAGCACCTCCAGTTAAAGGATCTTAGGTAGCAGGTGTTTTCTACCTGAGGCTCTGGAGACCTGCTGCCAGTCTGACTAGGCAATGATGAGCCGGAGGAACCAAAGAACTGATGGTATCAGGCAGCTTCACAAGTACAAAAATTATTAATCCTGGTTGTTCAGGCTAGTAATTGAAAAGACAGCTTGGAGACAAAAAGGGAACAAGCAGTGGCCCTGACCCGACCACTCACGCTTTGATATACAGTCACAACGTTAGCTGAAATGCTGTGCATCAGTCACTCATTAGAAGGAGAGAACCAGGCCATTCACGGAAATAATTCTGAATGCAATCTCATTCACCTCTCGCAATCAGAAAGATGTGCTAACATGACCTGAATCTGAATCAAAGCTGTGGCACAGCAACGACTGTGGTTAAGATGTCATCGCTATCATCTCTCAGATTACACTGAGGTGGGAACAGTGCTGAATCAGGCATCTGACTGGAGCATATGGCGACATGGCGCCGCTGGAAGGTGAGCGTCAACCCCCCCCCCCGTCTCCTGTGGGCATAAAGTCTGCTGAGGGAGGATCCAAAGTGCTTATCCAGGATAATTCCCACCCGAGGTCACAGATGCTCTTGAAGTGTTGCAGAGGAAGGTGCCTCCAGATGCCGGTGACAAGAGTTCCATCTCATCATCTCAAATGAGTCATGCAGCAAAGACTGGCTGACTATGGAGGGCATCAAGATATGCTTCCCTGCACCTGCTCATCTGTTCCCTGGAAGGCCAGATAATGAAACTGAAGCTCAAATACTTTGGCCACCAAAGGAGAAGGGAGCACTCACTGGAGAAGACCCTGATGCTGGGAAAGATTGAAGGTCAAAGAAGACGGAGACGGCAAAGGATGAGATGGTTAGACAGTGTCATCGATGCAACGAACATGAAATTGAGCAAACTTCAGAGGACGGCGGAAGACCGGAAGGCCTGGCGTGATCTGGTCCATGGGGTTGCGAAGAGTCGGACTCGACTGTGTGACTGAACAACAAACCTGCTCAGGAACTTAGATTGGAAGAATCTTATGGGGATGCTTTGCTTTTGCCAGTCTTGCACCCATTTCATGATGGGGGAGCGGAAGATCAAGGCACCATACTCTTCAGTTCCCCCAGAAATTTATGAATGGATTACCTCCAACTTCTGACAATCCATACACGCTGTTGCCATCAGTATGTCTTGGAATATTAAAATTCTGCCTCATTCCCTTTTTGCAAAGCATCCGCATGCAAGAGGAGGATGATAAACAAACCTATTTAACAGCATCACACTCTTTTCTTAGACATAGGGCTCAAGAAAATTCCTCCCCATAATTTGGGCTGCAAACAGGGATTAGGAGTTCTTTCCATTTAAAACAAAATTTATTCTGTACTTGTGTGTTAAATTTCCCTGTACTTGCTGTGGAAAAGCTTTTTGGTTTTGACTGGTACATCAATATGGCAGTGATGACAACAACAAACAGATCTTCACAGGGGTTGTGTTAGCTCCAGTCTACTGACAATCTTTCCACTATGCAAACAAATTTCAGGAATAATGAGTTAAACAGAAAGTGTTCAGGTTAACAAGACATACTTAAAGCGAAGATTTTACCCAGACGTTGCAAGTCACAGTGACACTGTTTTCTGTTTTCATTTTAAACAGCTGCCTCCTTGATCCATTTTCAGAAGTGGATTCTGTATATTGATGCCTAGCTAGATGATTCACTGTTCCTAGGTCTATCCTCAGGTCCGCCTTGGATCCTTTCAGGAAAACATGCTAGATTCTTAGGCACAGTAGGGCCAATCTGGATCAGGACCACAATGTGCAGGGAGAGGGGGCTTAAGTCTCACCCACATGGGTTTCTCAATCTGAAACCGCCCTGGGGAGTTATTATGTGTCCCACTGGGGAAACTTACATGGAGCTTACTGACATACATGTAGTCCATCAGTACAGGTATGTTTTTCCACCATGGCAAATAGGAGCTGACTGGGGCCATTTCAGGGTGGGAAAACGGCACAGAGGGGAAGCCTTGGGGACAGCCTCTCTCCCAAAGTGCAAAAAATCCCAGTCTGAATTGGCCATCATTCACCTGAGAATCTAAGTTTCAGCTGGGGACTGCCAGCTCCCAGGGAATAACGTATCATTTAGCTAGGCCCTTTGTTATTTGAGGGATTGAGAGAATTGTCCTTGCTTTGAGGGAAAAAACCCCAGATCTGTTACTTTTTCATCCATCAACCCTGGAAGGCTCTTCTTCGAAGGCGTCCATCCTTACAGAGATCTGTAGCCATCCAGAGTACAACCTAGAAAAGCCACATTCCTTCCAGCTGTGTATTTCAAGCCAGCTTCCCCCACTGCTGAAACCACTCACCTTTCTACCCAGCTCTTGTAATTGGGGATGTCCTTGGCATACAGTAGTTTGTTGGAGGGAGAGTCTTTCCCTAGCTTGTGCTCAGAAGTTGAGCAAGAGTCCATGAATGTCTGAGCCACCACTGATAGGCAAGCATCAGTAATACTGTTCTTGTGAATGTCAAACACAAACTGGGGATTCTTAATCACATTCACCCAAAAACGCAGAGGTAGACTGCAAAGGAAGAAAAGTGAGGGTTAGGTCAGGAAAACAAATTCTTAGTAGCTACAAGCCAGGCCAATGGCAATAATCCTTTAGCCAGTCAGAAACCCAGAAAATAGGGCAGATATCTTCACAACTCCAAAGAAAGCCAAAATTAATCCTTGTGGAAACACGGTTTGGCAGCTCTTTTGGCCCAACTTCTATCCCAGGGCAGAGTGAAATACCAGCTAGCAAATGGGCATTTTAGAATGGAAATTATAACAAGGAAATTCACCAACAGCACTCAAGTTAGCCTTGGGATGTATCAGTACACTTCAAGAATGTCTTTCATTTGCTACCGCTCTTGATCTGTGTTGTCTAAAGACAGCTGTAATTCTGGGAGCTCTCCAGTTACCACCTGAAGGTTGGCAACCCTATAAATGTCATATGATCTCCTGTGCCGGGAAATGGAGGGAGCCCCCCCCCCCCCCCCCCCCAGCCCTTTGTCCAAGACTGATGAAGGACCGAGAAACCCATTCTTTCAGAACAACTGTCTCTTCTTTCCTCACCCAGGTCTTGGTCATGCATACCAGGTCCACTCCTTGAGTCACAAAATAACTCTGTAGGGTTGCGGTCTTATTATTAATGGACCTGGCATTACACAACATCAGTGTCAGAGAAAGGCTACCAGTGTGTCTCGGGATGGGTCAGAGATTGGAAGGAATCTCCATCTCCTTCCCTTCTGGTATCTCCTCCCACCATCATACCTCCCAAACCCTCCAATTACAGGAATCCCTCGCCCCATGTTGGCCTCCCTTGGAAAGACTGAGTCCGTTTCCCTCCCCTGCAGCCTAACTCAACCTCCCCCAGCACAACACAATGGCTGAAGTTTCGGACTTCCCTTCACAACTGCCATTGGTGGTATCATACACTGTGATATCATCCACTCTTCTTAATATAAATTTTAATAAATAAAAATATAACAGGCTAGCTAGAGCCTTTCTCCCTGGCTTCCAGTTTTCCATGAAAAAGATTTTTGGTGTGGAGGTAGATTCAGTCCTGTGAGCCTCCATCTATAGTTTCAAGGGGTACAGCTTAGATAGGGCTACTGTCTCAGTGAGAGCTAGTATGATTGTCTCATTCGCCAAATGCAAGTGCTTCCCCCCCCCCCCCCATTTTGTAATATGGGTGCAGGCCATGCATACTTATTTTAATTTCAGAGAAACGATCTCATGAAATTAACTCTACATATTGAATTAGTACCCTGAAATAAGTGTGGGCATTAGTATGCAGGAGCCTGCCTCCTTGGGCTCTGTGGAATTGGAATCCAGGCATCACTGGAATTCGCTCCCCCCCCCCAAGGTCTTTCCCCTCCCAGCAATGCTCCTTCCTTTAATATAGAAAGCAGAGTGATAAATCAGTTCGAAGTGTCTCCATGCTCTCATATCTCCATTTAAAAATGTTTCTTTTTCTGCCCTGCTAATTACTGACAGTTACTGAACTATACAAAAGCAATTTGGCTGCCATTTAACAAATGCCAGAGACGGGAATGCACGCTCTCATCCCCAAGTAATGGCGAGAGGATCTGAGCAATGAAATCAGCAAGGCGGCAGAAGGGAAGAGCACAGAGGGGAGAGAGATGATAGCCCTAACTACAGCAGAGCATTTACCGACCCCCCCCATGCGACTACTTGTTGAAGTTGCACAAATCCCTCACGTCTTCCTATGGATGGATAGCACAAATGATCGTGTGGCTCTCTGCCTAGCACTGTGCAAAAACGCATACTGATCCCATCTTGTTCTTAGATACAGTTTGAAGCAAATTTCACTGCCACAGTTAGAAGAGATACCAAGCTGAGGGTCCACGAACTCCAGGTGGGAAGGCACAACCAATAATCCCATCCCTCAAGACCTCCCCCTCACGATGTGCTCAGGGGGCTTAAGCAGGATAATTTCCTGTCCCCCTTCCTTCCTTTCTTTTAACTGCTGTTCCGTTTTTCTCAATGTTCCATGCTAGGTGGGGCATTTTCTGCCCTCAATAGGCCATTTGGGGTATTTCTTTTGGTTAATTGACAAAAAATATTTTTCTTCTCTTGGGAGCCCCCCCATCAGAGCATTACTCTGAAATGCAGTCACATAAGATTATTTTCTTTGGTCAATGGATACCCAGTTTGCATTGATTGGGTGCCCGACATCCTTGGCTTTCTTGAAATGGCCACATAAAAGGTGTAAGTCACAAAAAAATCAGGTGGGTCACTATGAAAACAGCTGAAACCTAGTCTATATTAAGTGCATTTATGAGGCTCCACCTGCCATGGGAAACAGTGAAATGTGACTATATTTAGGAACTTCCGGTTCCCATATGATAGGGGCAATGTAATATGCTTTCTCTGGAAATTTGGTACAGCACAGTGAGAAAGCCTGAAGGCATCTATACATTTGGACAAAGGTAACTGAAACATCTTCCTGATAATAACAATTCCCTGAAAAAAATGCCCCACCATTTCATCCTTCACCACTTACCAGTTACTCTTCCAGGTGTGCCTGACGTCGTAGTCATTGATCTGGTGCTTATCAGCTTGTTCATCCAGGAAATCAAACATATACTTGATGGCCAAAGGCAAGGCACTCCCTCGGTGGGCTGTGCTGAAGATAGTCTCAAAGAGGTCATCAACAAACTTCTGCAAGGTCCCCTACACACAAAACAGAAAGAACATTTCCTCAGTACCTATGGACAGAACAGCAGCAGTCAATCAAGGCAGCACCTGCAAGCAGTTGATAAAGATCTCACTAAGGAAGCTCATCTTCTAAAACAAGGGACAGATAAACCATAATTGCAAGCAATAAAGCCATACAGAGAGCAATCCTAAGCAGGTCTACTCAGCATCCTGCTGTGGTCCACTTAATGGAGCTTACCCTCAGGCAAGCGTTTTTGGGATTGCACTGATAGACCTTTGTTGGGTTTTGCAGAACAATTCAGAATGTACTGGGAAGAGGTCTTCCACAGAAACGATAGATAAGGCATGTACAATGCTTCCCGCTATAGCACAAAGCATGGAGCACCACAGAAGAGTCATTTACATATCAAACAACATGGAATTTGAGCTGTCCGTATCTGTGTAACTTGCGCTTCAGAGAACCCTCCGAAGAGCAACCCTGAGATTGACAATTGAGTATTGCATCATTTTATTAATGCCACTTTAATTATCTGGCCTATAGCAAAACAAATCAACCTAACTTCAACAAACATTCCCAAATACACAAGACGGCCTTCCTATTTTCACAGACCGGGACCTCTTGGCCATGGGCATAACAGAATCTGGGTTGGTCAAAAGTTAGTATGCCATGTCAGCCATTCACAATTTGCCACCTCAAAACTCCTATATGATGATGATGATGATGTGCCACTGATTTCAACAGTGGGAAAGTGATCAGAGGATCGCCCTGGTCTTTTGAATCTTCTAGTTCAGGTCCGGGGGGGAGGGGGGAAGGTGGGAAGGTATGTTGACCACAGGGCAGCCCTTTTCAGATTAATCCTGTGCTAGGCTTGCTGAAGGGTGGGAATTCTTCCTAGGAAAGATGAACACGTAGTGCTGCCATCCAACATCCCATATAGAATTATAATCAGTGAAGTACGAAATGCATTAAATGCATGAAGCTAGACATACATCTGAATGGCCAAGGTTTGTGCTCAGATTGCACTGAGTTAAGCAACAGCGACATAGCAGCCAACCAGCAGCGAGGTAATTAATTGCTCCAACAGATTACTACAATTTATGATTTGGTTTGGGTATAACATTGAAGAGAGATTCCACCGTGCCCCTTGGCACGATAGCTCCTGCAATTAATGTGGGATTCCCCGCCCCCATCCCAGCTCTCAGAATTTGACAATATCATTTCTGTTTGCTTTTGTACAAATCTTATATTATTGACCATTTGATTTACATCAGGCACTAGTGCAGCAATTACCCAGCATGGGTAGCCCTAAGCCATTGGACTTTTAAAGCTCCCAAGCCTCTGCTTTTGCTGATGCAGAGTGCTGGTAAAATGAGGGCGTCTATCAAGCGTATGAACAATGAGCACAGGGGAAATCAGTGATTGCAGCAACCGGAGGCTGGGATTCAGTTTTGCTTTGTCAACAGCTAGGATGCAAAACCAGTCCTTGCAGCTGTTTTCTTGGCCAGATGTAAACAAGGCTTTTGCTTAGGTAGGTGAAGAGATGAAAGGAGTGAAGACAGGCCACTCAGCATATCCTGAGTGCCAGAAGGAGCTAGGACTATCCCGCTGTACATCTGGGGCAGGGTGGAGGATGATAGTGAATGGGCTGAGAAGGATTACCAGTCACCTGGGGAAAGATTCCAGCCTGGGAGTCCGGCAGATTTCTGTCTGGTTGCTCGAAAGGGTCAGAACAAAGCCAGGAATTTAAAGCTCCAGCTAGGGATTTTCTTCAGTCCTCCTCCTCCAAGGCACGACAAAGAGTGAGGGTTGCTCCACAGGGCTGTGTGCCAGACCACTGTGAAGACAGAAGCTGGCCATTCTGCCTCATCACCCATTGCTCAAGCCAGAAGAAATTTCCTCCCTGCTTTGCTTGCTTGTAGTTTGAGGGCAGGAATTGCAGGAGGATTTCAGGAGGAGGAGCAAGTGGAGGGGGCTGAAATTCTTTGTGAGACTCCAGTAGTGATGTTGTTCTCAGAGCTGCTGCTGCTGCTGCTGCTGCTACAACGAGGGCAGGGCACTTTCTCCCCCCCACCCCCCGACATGTTGAGGGAGTGGCAGTGGATAGAGTTGTGCAGCCTGTCTCTAGGGATAAGCATACCTAGTAACTACAAGCTCTAAAGAGAATTCACCATATAACCTGTATATAAATAATTCTTCTTTGTTGTTTTATTAAACCTCCTGCTTCAGTGATCTCTATACTCTTCACGCACAATACAAAACTTACGTCTCAGCAGCAACCTAAAGCCTTTACACTTGCTACCCAAGGAACATCTTGTAACTGGGGGGGCTTGTACCACAAAAGCAAGAAGGTTCCCCAGTGTGGGTCCCTTTGTCTTCAGAGAAAGGGCCTGTCACACTGGCCAGAGACACTTGCTTGCATGTACATGTGTGCATGCAAGGAGAGGGCAGACATGTATTGAAGGGATATTGTGGGAAGAAGGATAGATCTCAAACAACACTTGTTCATATTAGTTACAGATAAAATTCCTGATCTCTTTTTCCTCAGAGCCCCTGCACCTTTAACAGTTGCACGGGAAGCAAAAGAAGCTTTAGCTGGAGAAACTTTCTCAGCCTGGAGACAGGCAAAACTTCCCCGGCTGCATTCGGCTTCATTTGGGGAGGCTGGGAAAGGGAGAGGGGAAATGCTCATTTCCAGCTTGATAAAATCAGCGAGAGCCCTGGCTTAGCTTTGTGCAAACTACAAATGCTGAAGAAGTGAGTGGTGACTCATGAAAGCTCCTACCCTACCACAAATTCTGTTAGTCTTTAAGGTGCTACTGGTCTCTTAGTCTTTCCTACTGCTACAGACAGACTAACACGGCTACCCATTTTTTTTTTTTGGTAAACAAATTTTATTTTCTCAGGAATACAACATATAAAACATTTCATTCTATCAATTGTCTACCCCATTCCCAGTTCCTCCCCTCCCTCCAATGGCTTCCCACAATGCTTCCACCCCTGCTCCAAATTACTTCATATCATCAACAATATCAGTTTTTCATCATTACAATCTAAAGATAACATCGTTTGACTTAATATTGATCTAAACATATTAAGTTTTGTTTCACATCCCAGTTCTTTTCCAGATAAATTTTAAAATCATTCCATTCTCCAAAAAACTCATCGTCTTCTTTGTTATTCAGTTTTTTTGTAATCTTATCCATTTGTGCCATGAACAGATACACGGCTACCCATTTTGATCTACAAATGTTCAGACCTGTTTTTCTTCTTTCTGATTTACCTTGGTGGCTAGCAGTCGGGTCAAGTAGATTTCTGAGACCATCTTGCTGCCCCGATCACCTTCTCGTTGATCCATGTGGTCATGATTTTTCACCAGATGCCACAGTTTGGTACCGCTCTCCAGATCAGGGGTGATCATGGGGGTCCGGGAACGGAGACTGTCGGGGCTGCTGGCTGTCCGGAGCATACTCTCTGTGAGGAAACCACATGCAATGGGAACCACCTCTCCCTCCTTTACTGACTCTCACCTTAAACTAGTCCCCCCTCTACCTCACTTTGCCTAGAACAATGCCTGCCATACCATGGTTGACCATATGTCATGTCTGGGCTGCACTCTAGAATCTCCCAACAAAAATTCCTAATCTGAAAAGTTGAAACTTTTGCTGCCAGTAGATGGAAGGTGGCCCCAATCATCAGATTTCAGAAGATAAGGAGGACCAACTCTCATTAGTACTTGGATGGGAGACCACCAAGGGAGTCCAGGGTCGTTACACAGAGGCAAGCAATGGGAAACTACCTCTGAATGTCTCTTGCTTTGAAAACCCTACGGGGGTCTCCATAAATTGGCTGTGACTTTCCAGCACCCCCAGATGGAAGGAGAAGTAGACTGGTTATGATCTAAGGCTTGCCCAACCGCCCATGCCATTGGTACAGTTCACTCCAATTCAAATAGTTGTGTATCATTACAAACAGCACCTGCCACTTTTAATTTTAGGGATTAATACGACCATAGGGCAGTATGGGCAATGCCATGGTCTTCACTGTGAGCCCTTGCAAGGCATCAGCCTGGTACGCTTGTCATATCTGCAACTTTCAAAGACACACTCAAATCTTTCCCTGCTTGTTTTTACTGGTGGTGTTTCTTTCTTAAAAGGGCATGGGAAGGGGACTCCTTCAAACACAATCAGACATTCCTACTACCCATGAAACTTGCCATCCCATAATCCCTGAGCCATGTTTAAAAATACACCAAAATGCTTCACAATCCCATATGTATTTTGAAATGTTTTAGCTTTTTCCCAGGATACTCATCTTAAGGGGCTGTAATACTGTGCTTTATTTCAATCAACTTTGCTCTTGCAAGATTAACTTATTTGTCAATGACTTGAATGAGGAGAACTTAATGCAAAAGTACACATTTTGTAGGTATAATTAACTGGGATAAAGCAAGCTACCAGGTAGCTGGATGATTTGAACGAGCAATATAATTCCTAAAACGGTATTCAAGTCAGTTTGGCTGGGCTGATGCAAGGAGACACCAGAAGGGCTGTGAGTGAAAAAGCCATGTGGACTTTCAACGCTGCCCTTCTTCTGGCCTGCCTTTGTCTGATTTCTATACTCCACACTGTCCCTGAATGGCAGACAGAAAGCAGGCAATATGATGTGTTCTCCCTTACTCACCATATCTACTGAGTGACTTGGTGAAGGTGGAGGAGTTAGAAATATTGTAGGCTGAATTCTGCTTGGGCACCAGTGCTACGCAGGAGCCGTCTGTCACCTACAAGGAACATCATCAAGAACAAATCAGAAATCACTTTTGACATCGGCAACCCTTGCACCTCATCCCAACCACACATTTGAAAGTAAGGTGATATGGAATCACATTTTAATTTCTTATTCAATGTTTCTAGGGTCCCTGCACTACAATTACAAAGCTAAAGAGCATGCATTATTACCTGTGAGTGATCTGACCTCATTAGACTTCCCTGGGAAAAACAGGTTTATTTCAAAGGCCTATCTGCAACTTTCTCATACTGTCACTCCTTCAATGCTTCATACTCCCTTATCCTATTTTTATACAGGAGGGTTTTTCCCCCAGAACTCACATACGGTGCAGTGCTCTCTCAAAAACTTGAGAAAACTACTTCTTTTGCATGGGAAGGAACATAGGGACTGCCATCTGATCACAGCAGAAGAGCAGGGGCCATGGCTCAGTACCAGAGCATCTGCTTAAGCATGCAGACAGTCCCAGGTTCAATCCCTGGCATCATCAGTCAAAGGATCTACCAGTAGGTGATGTGAAAGACCTCAGCCTAAGACCCTGGAGGGCCACAGCCAGACTGAGTAGATTCTGATGGACAAAGGGTCTGATTTGGTATAAGTCAGCTGCATGTGTTCAAGTTGAATTCATAATCTACAATTGCCTATGAACAGTATAGCCAATGAAGAGCATGGCATCCCCCTTCTCAGAAGGGGAAAGGTCTGACAGGACGGACCTTTCTTTCCTCAGAGAGAATACACAAATCCAAGAAATGAATGTCACAAGTTCCCATCCACTGGGAGCCTCAAGCCTAAGCAATACAGTTAACTCCTAATGTGGAAGACTGCCCTTGATTTCTCCTGAAGCCAAGCCTGACAGTGAGCTCTTCCCCCTTCTTCTCATCTACTTGGCTTCCTCAAACTTTTCATTTCTGTCCAGAACAACTGACAGACTTGTGTTTCCAATACATTCATGTTTTTCTCCATTCTCCCGAGACAGAGGTTGTATCCAAAGAAAAACAGAATGTGGAACACACCATGATTACGGGTATTCTTTGCACTCTTTGAGCAAGAAGAATAAACTGAATACTTAAATGACTAACTTATGAAGAATTTCTTTACAAAAAGGTTTTTTTTTAAAAAAACACACCCTATAACCTAATGTTCTAAATTTTTATTTTATTTTTATACCTTTCTTACTTTGTGTTGCTTTTTTACCCCTTTGTACAAAGGATCTCCCCCATGTATTTGGATATGAATCCAAGACCATGTCCTTTGATTATGGATTAATTAAGTAAAGGTAAAGGTTCCCTTGCTCGAAAGCCAGTCGAATCCGACTCTAGGGTTGCGGTGCTCATCTCCGTTTCAAAGCCGAAGAGCCAGCGCTGTCCGAAGACGTTTCCGTGGTCATGTGGCCGACATGACTAAACCCCAAGGCGCACGGAACGCTGTTTCCTTCCTACTGAAGTGGTACCTATTTATCTACTTGCAATTTCTTGCTTTCGAACTGCTAGGTTGGCAGGAGCTGGAACTAGAGATGGGAGCTCCCTCCGTCATGCGGCACACTCGGGTCTCGAACTGCTGAACTATCGACCTTCCACAGCCTGCAGTTCAGCATCTTAACCACTTGAGCCACCACAGTTCCTTATGGATTAATTAACGTGGTGTAATTACTGTTGTGGTTGTATATTCACAAATAACAATGCTTAAAATGACACCTATCTTCCACTCATAATGTATGTGTGTGTGTGGGGGGGGAGAACCACAACTGCTTTGGTTTCTGGCTTACAGAAGTGTCTTTAAAGTCTGGCAAGACACCTGCATAGTCTTGAGCATGTGCCCAAAGGTGCTAGAGTGGGTGCTAGTTCTCAGGTCCAACAAGACAAAATGGGCTGGATAGAAGCAGTTCTTCTGCTTTAAAGACCAAGAAACCCATCTAATTGCTTGGACTGCCCACTCTTGGTATGGGAGGCCAAAACACATCTTGGCAAAACATTCACCTATACAAAAGAGATATTAAACTATATCACTGTGACAACTTTTTTTTTTTTTGGGGGGGTGTCCCCATGTATCCTGCATCCTGTCTACCAAACTGTACCAAATACCAAAGTGTCTACCAAAGGAGCCATGGAACAGGAAAAGGGAGTTTTGCAGGGGACTGAAGCCCCACCCTTGGGTACTAAAAGTGTTGCTTTTCCCAGCTTTTGTAGCCTTCATTACATTTACAGGCTTCTTCTCCTGAAGACTAGAAGCTTTGTTTTCATTTAACCAAAACACAAGATTTTCAGGATTTATACCTCAGTATTTAATCAGATTTGCAACGTATACGAACATACAAAAAACAGCCATTCCTAAATCTAGCCTAGTCCCCCCCCCCACTCCGCAGCAATAAAAATGACTGAATCATAATGACTCTCTGTAAAGCCCATCCCTGTACATATAAAGCATCCAAGCTAAGTAAACCTTACACTCAGATGCCAACTTTCTTCTGCCACATCTCTATGGCTAAACCCAGTGGGCAACCACACCTGGTAATGGGCAAGGGTGTTGAGCCTTTTCCAGTCGTTGTCGATTTTGGTGGTTACATCTTCATCCTGCAGTATTATCCGAGCCATCCTGCCCTGCCGCCACTCTGCACCGATGGAAGAGAAGGGCATGGGGTCACTGGGGATCGTGCTCACTTTGGACAGATCACAGAACGAAAGGCATGGAGAAGCATGTGAATGAGGCGTGGCACAAACAATTTTTAAAAGCCACACCCCACTTTAAACCCTCGTTTGTCTTGTTGTGAGCCACTGTGGTCAACAGCAACTGAGCTGAGAAGACTGGCCACATGTTTGGATACAGTACAGCTGATGTATCTTTTCTGTGCCCCACTTGGAAAAATGGGATGTTATCATTCTTGGACACTACAGTTCTGTTTCTCAACAGTCCAGTGAATCCCATAGCAACAGAAAACACCTCTCCCACACACACACCCCACTGAATCTTGTTACCTCTGATATTATACTGTGCGACATTAAATGCTGAGTTTGCTCCATCACAGACACATTAAGAATGTTTTTCTCCCCCTGAAGGAGGCTGAAGAACAACCTTGTCTGCAATCCGGGATAGATGGGTATAAGGAATCCTGCCTTAGTGCTGCTGAAGCAAACAGGTCTGCCTCCGACATGTGTAAATTGATCCTCAGATACCCTCTTAAGAGTGCCACGGTTCTACACTGAGCTGGCTGCTGAAGGTATTATGCACTTCATATGTTGTAAAGGTAAAGGTTTCCCTTGCTTGAAAGCCAGTCGAATCCGACTCTAGGGAGCGGTGCTCATCTCTGTTTCCAAGGCAAAGAGACAGCACTGTCTAAAGACATTTCTGTGGTCATGTGGCCAGCATGACTAAATGCCGAGGTGCACAGAACACTGTTGCCTTCCCACTGAAGCGGTACCTATTTATCTACTTGCAATTTCTTGCTTTCGAACTGCTAGGTTGGCAGGAGCTGGGGCCAGAGACGGGAGCTCACTCTCGTCACACAGCACTAGGGTCTTCAACTGCCAACCTACAGACCTTCTGGTCTGCAGCTCAGTGTCTTAACTTCTGAGCCACCGCAGCTCAGAGCTACAGTATTTATTTATTTTTAAATTACACCCCACACTTTTAAGTCATAGCTTATGACTTATGACACAGTTTCCATAATCACCGCCACCACAACTTCTATAGCTAAAATCACAAAAGTTAAAATATGCACAAAATACTGGCATAAATCAGTTAAAAACAATGATCATGAAAATACTTAAACAAGCCATGGTTAAGACTGATCATGAACAATTTTTTTTGGGGGGACCCTTATACACACACCCATACAAAACGAATCAACCAACAGTAGCTTTCATGTGGCACCTAAAACGATACCTAAAGCAGTTTTCATCTGGCACAAAAACTACCATAGGGAGGGTATTTCATAATTAGGGTCACCACTGAGAAGGCCTTATGTATAGTGGCCACCCACCTCATTTCTGTAGCTTTGGCACATAGAACAATGCTTCCAAAGAAGAACGTCAAAGCTAAGTAGACTTTGGGAGGAGCAAGCAGTCCTTTAAGTACCTAAACCATTTAGAGCTTCAAAGGTACTAGCCAGGGTTCTGAACGCTACCCAGATACAAATCCCAATATGATTCTAGTAGTTTGCACCAGTCAGCAACCTTGCTGCAGTGCTCTGAACCAGCTGAGTGTTCCAAACAATCTTCAAAGGAAGCTTCCCACAGTAAACACCAAGGGTTCCATTGAACAGTACGCTAACAATCTGATGCAATGGGCTGGATAATATATCTCCCTCAGGGCAAAGGAGGCACAATTTGGACATGGCATCTCTCTCTCTCTCCACATAAAGGCTCTTCTAGACACATCTGTAGTGATCTCGGTCCCTGATATTTTGCTTGTGAGAGTGGATTCACATAATTATGTCTTCCACCTGATGGCTACAACCACTGGCAGAAATGGAATGGAAGGTCACGTGATACACTGATCACATGGCACTTGTAATATCAACTGGTTGTGTGAATTCAGCCCTAGACTCCACTGACCAAACAGAAAAGCAACTCTGTCTCTGTAGCTCACCCAGATCCATGTCTCCTGCTTTGGGTCTCTGGGAGTAGGGGACTCCCTTGTACACAGCATCTAGAAGCTTCTCTTTCACTTGTGTGATGGTATCACAGTTCAGGACCTTGACTGGGATCTCAGGAGCATTTTCATTCTCAGGGTTCACACAGTTCAGAGTCTACACACACAAAAAAAGGAGGAAAATATATGTGAGACAGGTGCACCACATAAAACTGTAATTATATAGCGGGGGCACAGAAGGAGATGAAGAGAGGGAAGAGCAGCATTCCAACAGCCTTCAAAGCAGCTTTACCTCCCTGATCATTACACGAGCAATCCTAGGGAACCCAAAGGTGTGCAACAGAACCTTTTCCGTCTAATAGCATCCTGGTTGGCCACTGTGTGAGACAGGATGCTGGATCAGAGAGACTGCTGGTCTGATCCAGCGGGGTTCTTGTTATGTTCTTATGTTCTTTACCTGAGATGACATCCAAGCCAGGCTATTGTTCCCACCATTCCAAAATGATAAACCTATGAATTCCCTTGTTGGATCAGACTAAGGGTCTGTCTAGCCCAGGAATGGCTCAAATAGTCGCCAGCCATATGCTGTGTAAAACTCACAGGCAGGGCACAATGTAATAACCATGCTGTATTCCTTGCCCACAACATCCATAAATCAAAGGTACAATGACTCTAATCACAGAGGGGTCCTTTTGATTGTAGTGGCTAATACCCATTTATAAGAAGGCAGCATTGGCATGATCCTGTGCAGTAATACCTAACACTGGGACACAGTGAGGTTTTCCAACTAGGCTATAGAGAGAAGGTAAATAAAGGCCAAAGGACAGGCAGTATATATATATATATATATATGTACCAGCATTGTGTAGTGGTCAGGGCCAGTTCCAGGTTCAAAAAATTGGTTTCAACTTCAAAATCCTCTCCCAAGAGTCCAGAGGGGATCATTGCTATGGGCTGGTTGGTAAATCAGAAAGCATTTCAACTGTTCTCAGCTTTCTTGCCTGTCTTGCTATGTTACTCCCTTTCCCTCCACTCAACCCAGTCCAGATGTACGGGACACCAACCCTGTTAAACAGCTGCGCTTAGTGGGTCCTGGCAAGAGCCAGTCCTTGTTGAGGCTCCCACTTGCACTAACCAGCATTTTGTAGTCAATTTGCTGACGGATGAGCTTGTCTTCACTTAGAGAATAGCGGGCTTCTCCTGTGATGGCATCAATGGGCCCCTTCTCCATCTGCTGTTTGATGGCACAGTAAAGCATGAACAGAGGTTCACCTGCACACTCCTACAGTAGAAAAGAAAGGAAGAAATGAGAGAGAACATCAGACATAACACCCGACAGTCCATTTTGAAAGAACATTAGGACCCCTAGAAGAAACGAGAAGCAAGAGTTGGCTGTTCTTGTGCTTCAGAATCAAACTTGCATCAAGAGACTGTATTTAATAAACAGAATCTCTGGCTTGCAACAATATCCGTTTTGAAAAGCATTTGCTGGCGGGGAGGAACAGTTCTGCTATGACCACTGTTGTCACAAGATCAAGATTTGGCCAGTGATTACAATCTTTATTGCCTTTGGAACTTGCTCTGTTTGCTTTGGTACAGATTCTCATTTCATCTAGAATAACAATTCTTTGGATATTTAACCCAATCTCTTCTGGGGAGAAAACCCACCCAAAGCCTCCCTATTTGCAGTGTATGAGTCGTAAGCACATGATTTCAGCTACCCACCCCCCCCCCCCCATCAGAATGTGTGTCATCTGTTATTAACACAATAGACCTTAGTAGCATAGCCATAAAGCCTGGAAAATCATGCATGGACTTGATAAATTCAAGGCAGTTAACTGAAGATCATTTAACTTCTTTTCCAAGGCTAAGCTCACCCAAGCTGTGGAAGAAGACACTTAAGGCATTGTGGTGTGTGTGTGTGTGTGGGGGGGGGGGGTCCCACAGGGAATGACTTGACAAGATAAATGTACAACCAAGATCTACTTCCAACTAACTGTCTTTCAGTAAGGATTTGGACTGAGTTTCCACAAATAACCTGTTCAGTCCTTTGAGTCCAATCTTACCTACTGCTGGACCAAACTAATGGATCACACATCCCAGGATATCTGAAAGATTTAAAGCTCACCACTCCACCAAAGATTTCAGAGGTAGCTTTCACATAAAAAAAATAAATTCCACCAACAAGAAAATGGCAACAAACTGATATTAAAACAAGTCAGTTTGACCGTAATAAATATTGACTGACTGACTAAAGCACAACTCATCCCACCCAAACATATCTAAAATCAACCCAAACCCTGAGTGAATTAAAAAGGTTTAACTTGATGACTAAAATTAAACAAGATTGTGGGAGCAACCATAAGCAGATCTTCTGTGATAAGTCTCGTGTTATTCAGTGTGCCTTGCTCTCAGGAAAATGCCCTTGATATAACAGCCTGTGATATCCAATGGGTGATGGCAGGGAGGCAGTGCCACTGCAGAAAATATCATATCTCTGGCACCTACCCATTTAGCTCTGGTGGAAGCTTCTGGAGAAGAACCTTTGCAAAAAATTCTTGGGAGGGCTCACCATGATAATTTAAGAACCCTGGTCCAAGACCAGGGCTACTGAGACCTGATAAAGGCTACATGAAAATTACACTGCCTCTTCTCAGCTCTTGATTTTGAACTTCCATCAGGACGAAGTTTAAAGACAAGCTAGTTACTAATCTGAATCCCCTGGCACTTGGCCCAATGACTGTTCTCTATGAATTTGTCTTCCTCTTTAAACAAACAAAACAATTAAGTCATGCCATTAGCTTCTACAGTACTCCATAGCCATGAGCTCCCCAAGTCAATCGTTAGCTGTATGAATCAAAAATTCCCCACTATTTCTGCTTCATTTACTGCCTGGTTAATTTCTTTGGGTGTCCCCTAATATTGCCATTATGCAAAAGCACAAGTACACAACTGACTACTCCGTTCCCTGTACTAATAAGAGAAAAAACACAATCCAGCATTATTGTGCAACATGTTATCAGACTTACATTTAGACCTTTTGGAACAACAAAACAAAAGTGCTCAAATACCAAATATGGGAGGTATACCAGTATATATGTATAAATGAAAGGAAAAACTTAAGAACAAAACAACACACAAACAAAGGATGCCAGGGAATCCCATCCAAAGCCTGCCATCTTCCACCGTCAAGTGCCTATCATTCAAGAGGACTGGAGATAGCATGTAGAAGCAGGAGAGAAGAAGAAGAAATGAGTAGGTTGAGGTTTGATTGTTATTGCTGAAAGAAACTATTGGGACAGACATTACTCTGAAAACTGATGCCATTGGCGACAGACCTTGACTTCAGTCATCTTTGGATCAAGCCCATGATTCTACCATACAGCTGCCCCCTAGAATCCTTTCATACCCCATGTTGAAGCCTCTTAGCCCTGGCTGGAGCTGAGATCTATGTGGAAAGGGTAGGGACAGAACTCCTGTGACCTCAGTTCCACCATCCGTTTCCCTGATGGCCATCACAGCGACAAATTTTACTTTGGTGCAAAGTGCTCTTGCTCTCTCTGTCACCATATGCTGTTACCATCTCGTTAGCATCTGCGGTAATTAAAGAGACAGCTGCTAACGAGCAGGAACAGGCATACATCATCTCTAGACCTTCCGACAACACGCCTGTCTTTGAAATTATGTTTCATTTGCAAACTTGGCTTCATTAAGTCTGCCCGGGAAGAGAGAGAGAGAGAAAGAGAGAGAGAAAGAGAGAGAGAGAGAGAGAGCACAAACCAATATGGGTGCTATGGTGTTTATTAATAACTGCCTTGTCTCCTCACAATGCACAAGTCAAATGATGATTGTGCATTAACAGGCACACACGGCAATTCCATTCCACCTTTGGAAGACTCTCTCACTGTTGCCTTCCCTTCTCCTTTGAGGCAGAAAATCTATCTTCCAAGGAAATTCTTAGCTGCTTATAAAATCTAACTGCAAACCATTCAGCCAATAGAAAGCAACACAGAGGGAGAATAAATTGAAGATGGCTCCTTGGTCACATCTTGTTTGTCTGCTGCGTGCTCTCTGCACCGCTTGCAGTCCTATGAGGGGGTCATGCTTTATGGTGGTGGGGGGGAGGTGCCTGACTTTTCATCAGTGCCTTTTAGGGGTACTCATGAGAGCAGCAGATTGCTTTTTTAAAAAAGGTTGCCTCTGAGAACTGACTCATTTAACACTTCAGTCCAGAGGAGTTCTGCAGGAGTTCTGTCCAACAGACAACAAATGTAGAGGTCTGTGTTCCATAAATCTCTGGGTAGTTAATGATTGTGGTGTCTTTAAAAAAAAAAATCTCTTAAGTCATACAAATACATCTTGGCAATGTGCTATCCTAGAATCTGGGAAGAACTCTCTGTAAGAATGAGCAAGTTCAAAATCTGTTTGCAACAAGAGGCTGGAAGAACTAAAGAGCAGATTGTCATTCCAATCTAACAGCAATGCACCCATATGGGAACAGACCACTGCATCTGCCTTAGCAAAGCCAACAATGAACTCAGCAGAACAAAGTCTGAGTCTAGTGGCACATTTAAGACCAACACAGTTTTATTCTGGGTATAAGCTTTCACATGCATACACACTTCTTATACCCAGAATAAAACTTTGCAGTCTTAAAGGTGCCACTGGACTCAAACTCTGTTCTGTGGCTTCAGGCCAACACAGCAATTAAATTTAGTACACACCGATTCTAGACAAACTGCTCTGGCTCTTCACGATTTGTGTTCACATGCAAAGGGATGGCATCATTTTGCTTTTTCTATTAGGAGGCTATATGGGGAAAATTGCACCTTTGGCTTCCTCTACTGCACCAGGCCACTCCAAGCTCCCAAAGAGGCCTTAAGATCCTGGTGGTGCGTGCCAATGACAAGAGTGGTGCCCACCAGAACAGTTTCCATGTCTGCAGAAGCCTGTATAGTATAGATTGTCTCACTCTCCTGGCCCTTGCCGTGGCATCATCTGTGGCTTAGAGCCCTCATGTACACGGGGGTCCTCTTTCATCCCCACCACAATGTTGGCTATGTAGGAGTGAGATGGAGGGTCTGTTACCTGGGGTGCAGGCTCCAATAAACTTAACTAGCGTGTGTCAAAGCTGAGTGTGATGGACTGGCATGAGAAGAAGTGCCACATGCATCCAGTTTGGGCATGAGAAGAAATTTAAGTAGCATTCCTTTGTAGAATTCAGTCTTTATGCCAGTAAGGCTAGCCAGAACCACTCTACCCCACCAAACTGGATAACCCTTCTTTGTAAAAGTGACCAAGGCCATAAAAGCTGGCAAAGGCAACTTGGCATCTCCAGGCTAAGTTCTTTGCTAACAATACATACGCCCCAACAGCTGTGCAGCAAGGATTATGTACTGACCTGCAACAATTAAGAGCACTTCAGCAGCTAATGGGAGACATCTACCAGTGCATGCACATCATAATAATCCACTGCTCTCCAACCAGAGATGGGGGGGGGGGAATGCAGTACTTTTCCTGAAGCAATTAAAAGTCTGTTTTGAGTCTTTTGAGGACACAAAGTAAATGATTAAGTGATATGGCTGTGAGTGTATAAGTGAGGATGGGACGAGATTTTGTGAAACTGACTCATAGTCGTCCTGAGCCCAATTGCTAATAGAAAGGAGTCAAGGCAAAGCAATCAATGAATGAATGAATGAAAAAGAAACATTCTCACAACTTGCCGCTTCATAGGGCTGCCAGGTCTTCACGACGCACTGGCAGGGGGTGGGAGGGAGCCTTCTGGGACTGGGGTGGGGCTCTGCCCCCAAACAGCAACATTGCATGGCGATGTCCCCCGACACAATTACATCACGTCATCACGTGGAAGTGACATCATCACATCGGGGCCATCATGCAGCTACACTCTGGTTTGAGGGCAAAATTTATTTATTTATTGTTTGTTTGTTTATTTATGCAGAGCCCATTCCAAGCAGGCTCAGGACGGGTCACAACAAGCAGTTAAACAGTTAAAATACATGATACATACAATTGAAAAACTATAAAATCCATAATACAGCACATGATGGTGAGCTCCATGGGGTATGCTGTATATGTGCCCAGCAGCTGGCCTAACAGAAGGTACGTAAAACTTCTGCTGATGGAGCAATTAAAGTGCATAGCAACAAGACAAGCTGAGGTGGGGTGGGGTAGGTAGGGCAGGGGTAAAGGTAAAGGTTCCCTTGCTCGAAAGCCAGTCGAGTCCGACTCTAGGGTTGCGGTGCTCATCTCCGTTTCAAAGCC